GAGGGAGAAGTGGTGGGGAAAGAGAATGGGAGGGTGTATATGGTGCAAAAAATTTGTACACTTGTATGTAATTGCAAAAATGATACCTGCTGAAACTATTCCAGAAAACAGGGAAGGGGGAAATTAAGGAGAGTAGTGGAGAGGGTGAATTCAAGTTTGATATATTTGATACATTGCAAGTAGCTTTTTAAATGCCACAATATACCCCAACCCAACACAACAATAAAGGAAAAAAAAGAGAACCCCATGCTACTTTCACGTTTCTTAAAAAAAAATCTAGATCACACATATGAGAGAAAATATGCCTCACCCTTTGGCCTCATGTTTTTTGGTTATGATTGATTAGAAACTCAGGAGATTGTTAAGAATTTGGTGAAACTAAATTCACCAAGAAACCTTAAAAGCAACTGAGGCCAATAGGAAAAGGGGACCAGGAACTAGAGAAAAGGTTAGATCAAAAAGAATTAACCTAGAAGGTAACACACACGCACAGGAAATCAATGTGAGTCAATGCCCTGTATAGCTATCCTTATCTCAACCAGCAAAAACCCTTGTTCCTTCCTATTATTGCTTATACTCTCTCTACAACAAAATTAGAAATAAGGGCAAAATAGTTTCTGCTGGGTATTGAGGGGGTGGGGGGAGAGGGAGGGGGCGGAGTAGGTGGTAAGGGAGGGGGTGGGGGGAGGGGGGAGAAATGACCCAAGCCTTGTATGCACATATGAATAATAAAAGAAAAAAAAGGAAAAAAAAAGCCATGAAAAGAATAAAAAAAAGAAATATTTAAAATTAAAAAAAAAGAATTTGGTGAAACTTTATCATTTGTTTTAATTCACAACATGTAGCCCCAAATGATTACTGAAATCTCTTATTATGGAAAGTCTCTGCAATATAAGTCACCTCCTGTGATACCAACAATTTCCCTTCTCAAAACTCCAGGTTTCTCACAGGGCACTTTAAGAAGTGGAAGGTGCTGATACCTGTCTCCAAAACAAGATTCTAGGTTCAGGAAAATGAGCCTTTCTTCCAGCTGCAAAGTGTGTTTTTCTTCCTGAAAGAAGATACTTCAGTATATGACTCAAAAAAGTTTTAATGGAAAATATGCAAAAATTGAATCCTTTCAAAGGCTGATTTATTCCTGTTCATGAGAATTCATTTCCTCTTCCATTTTACTGATTGCAGTTTTAAGGGCTCTTTGGAGAAAAATTATTCTTCTGAAATTACCTTCTATCTTTATTCTTACTGTTATTATCCTGACTCACGGCCTTGTTACCTTGAACTTAGATTACTGATATATCTCTCAAACGAATGCCTAGTCTCCTGTTTTGTCCTTTTCTGTAATCCACTGTGGACACTGTTGTCTCACTGATTTTTCAGGGAATGCTAGAAAGAGGATGGGCTCTAGAGGAAAACAAACTTGGGTCAGAATTTTACCTCTCTCACTTACTTGTTTTATGACCTTTAGAAACTTAAGAGACCTCTCTGATTTTCAATTCACTATGGGAAATATGCAATATCATATTAGTTCCTACTCCACAGGGTGGTTTGAAGGATTAAATGAGAGTATTGTGTGAATACTGTAGAATGGTGATTGTATGTAGAAAGCATTCAATAAATAACAGTTTTCATTTCCTTCCATTAGCTCTGTTTAAAACTTATCAATAACTCTATATTCTATGACTTCTATACTCTAAAAGTATCTTTACATGTTTCCATCCTCAAAGCTTCTTTCCCACCGTGTCCACACAGTCCTGTGATTCAGACAAGATTTTCTGTTATTATACAAATAAAACATGTCTATTTTCCATTTGTGTTCTAGGTAATATTTTTCTCTTTCCTGAAGTTCTTCGCCTTCTTCCCTCCCTTTAAATTTGCTGAACTTCAGACACTTGGATGTTTTTCCAAAATTTTGCTGTGGTTGCTTACCTTATATACATTTACTTTTGTATGCCAGTGTTTAAATAATCAGTTTATCAAACTTAGCGACCTACTTTAGCCTCATCTTAAGTAGTATTATTCATGAAATCACATATTTAAATTGCTAATTTTTACATTTTAAAGACTTAAAATGTATAGCTTTTAAAGTTTTTGAAAAGCTATTCCTTGCACCACCTAAAATAAAAAACCTCTGTATGTCTCCAGTAGGACATATTCTACTCATTGGGAAAATCTAATTAAACTAAAATTGGCCTATTGAGCAAAGACCAGCAAACTTCCCAAACAGGTTCAGCCCATCTTCTTAATTTCCAAATAAATGAACAGCAAATCACATAATATGCCACACTTTCTAGATATTTTATTAATGATCAACTTGTCACTTAACTGTAGACTCTTAGAGGATAGAGAACATATATGACAATTCTGAATCCCACCTCTCCCACTCAATATTGGGAAAAATTTCATTGTTATAGCTTATTAGGTATTTGTTAACTCCAAAAATGCACAGGAATATTCTGTGGATTAAATTAGGCATAGGCAGGCCTTGAAGACAGTTATCTAAAGCAATTCATGTTTACCTATTCTAATACAAAAACAATTGAGGTAATATTTCACTCTGTCATTTAGTTTTTACTTATTGTCCCAGAAATGATTAATGATAGTTTGAAAGGATATATTCTGTAGCAAGGTAATACAAATTAAAGGTAAATATATGACCCAAACATTGTATGCACATATGAATAAAATAAAAATTAAAAAAAATAAAGAAAAATGGGCAAGGTCATAAAAATTAAGCTATGAAAAGGGACAATTTAAAATGGTACTCTGTAAAAACACCTCAACACTTGCTAACATTAGATTCTACATTGGTTCTAGGTTTCCTGAAGACTGTATAAAAAGAGACTATTGACCAGTTATAATCAGTACTCATAAGAATTATATCAAACCAGTTGTTGAAGAAAAATCTAGTTTTTCTTGATGTTATGATCAACTAAGTCTTCATAGAAAATAGATGGTAATGAATAATATTCTCAGCAGTAGCTATTATTACTCATCTAATGCTGCTGTCAGACTAAAAAAGTCTTCGAAGCACCAAATCATAAACTTTCCCCAGTCTGTGGAATATATAACCCAATGTATAACCTATGGAATATATAACCCATTGAGGGGATACATAGGAAGAAGGGAAACATTCAGAACTATGGGCAAAATGGGACAGCTGAACTACATTTTAGACTCTTATGACCAGGGTCTTCAATACTTTCTTCAAGATGATGATGATACGTAAGTCATCAATCATACTGTTTTAAAAAAAATCCGTAGTTTTGTTCCTTCTAAGTAACATAGGAATTTTTCTGAGTTGAAAATTTTTGTCACTAAGTTCTGATCTTTTGTTCTCTTTTTAGGGCCAATTATAGGAGAAGCTTCTTGCATATAAGACAAATGAGTTAAGGAGGAAAGCTTTCTTCCAGAAATGTTAAGTTGTCATCTGAGAAATGAAGGTGAGATGTGGTAATCATAGCCAATTTTTAGGAAAGGGTTGCTTTTCTCCCTCTATCCCCAGGTTTGGTTTCAAGGTTCAACAGGTCTGGAACTTTATTTATTTAGAGAGAAATAATATCCTAGAAAAACTGGCTCATACAGCTCAAACTCACAAGGGATAGATTTGTATCAGAAAGACAATTTAATAATTTATAGTGAAGAACAGAACTGCCAAATGGACTGAAATGTGTGTTGGCCTGTCAGTATATTCTTTATTTCAGTAGGGATGCCAAGTCAGAAAACTAAATTAACAACAGATTGGAGCTGGATAGATATACGAAATCAGAATTAGGAAGGATACTATGAGGTCAGGCTTGTTTCATTTGACATAGATCAGCCGGGATGAGTACCCTCTCCCTTTGCCAGCACCAGAAGTTATGGTCTTATTAGCTATCAAACCAAGCTCTTAGTTTCCAGTGCTGAAAACTTTTCTTTTCCATCCCCTGATACTCTCGTGGTTTTTGTTAGACATCCCTGTGTGTTGGGCATGGTTCCACCTAGCTCTTTAATGGTTCTCGTTTTATAAGATGAGCTTATTGCAAGATGAGTTAGTTGCAGACACAGGTTGCCCTCTTATAAGAAGGTTGCCATCCATTTACTTCTTTAATTAGTCTTATCTGAATCAAAATGCTACTCTTTGACCTAACCCACATTATGGTTATTACACAGAAATTTCTTTGCAGCTGTAGGCCCTGAGTTCTGAGTATGGTTCCCTTGCATTTGTGCTGCTTTGTAAGCCTTGTTTCTCAGAATTACTCTTTAACTTGGCTGAGACTGTTGTCTCCAAGTGTGTGATTTGTTTGCATACTGGTGAAAGTCCCATAGACATTGTACATAGTAATCAAAATCTTAGTGCACTGGACGGAGACTCTACAATCAACATTGTTCATTCACTTGTGCATTCTTTGACCATTCATTCATCCATTCTCTCATTTATTGATTCAATAAACATTTATGAAAATGCCTTGTACTGGACTAGTTGGGAATACAAAAGTGAGTCAGACATGGTCTTTGCTGTCAAGCAGTTTGCAGTATAGTAAGGGGATAATAAGTGTACAGAAACAAACTACACATTTCATTGTAACCCAGAGCTGAAGGGATTGGGAGAAGAGTGCTCTAGGAACAAAGTAGTCCTACTAATGTTAGTTCCACTTGTGCTCTTGAGGTTTCCTCAGCCTTTCCCCTTGAGGCCTGAAGGAACAGTAACTTTCCTGTTCTTAAGTAAGTCCTCTTTGGATTTTGCTTGAAAATTGCATCTTGCTACAAGAACCTATTGGAATATGGTAAGACAAGCATGTGGGTTGTGGTGGAAGGAGACAGGGTGGAGAACAGTGAAGAAGGCTGGTGTACATTTGTTGTTTGTGCCTTTTTACTCCCTCCTCTTTGAATTTCTCTGAACCAATGAAATAAAAAAGAAACAAAACTTGATTAGCGTCATCTGCTCAAGGGACTTACCTTCAGTCTGTGCAAATAAGGTTTCTGTGGTGAGACACCGAATGTACTGAACTTCCTCTTTCAACACCAATTTTTCAGTTATCAGCAGGATATGTGCATGACACCCAGAATTAGGCTTTTTCAGTCCTAGCTCCTTGCAAAGAAACAAGAGTTCTTTTCCCAGCTGAGCAGCAGGGTAAGTTTTAGCCTGGCATTCGGGATTGGTGGTTCCATGTAGGAGGTTTGGTGGCGGAATGAAGATAAGGGCGGAGGCAGATGTTGGGCCAGTATGTGAATTGAAATTGTCTCTGGTTTCTCATCTCAGAATTCTTACAGCAGCAGCAGCAAAGTTGAGTCTCATCAGAGTGTGCCATTAGCTTCCACAATTACACCAGAACATGGAGTCTGTGATGTTGCTCATTCTTTGCTAAGGGCTTTTTGTAGAGTGAGACCAGGAAAGATGCCAGAAAGTAGAAAGCAAGGTGCTTCATTCAGTGATACTCATCGGGACAATTTGACATGCCTAAACATTAAAAAGGGATTTGAATTACTGCCATGTATAGTTTATTTAGTTGCATAAGGAAGAGTATTTTCAGGTATAAGCTCCTTGATTCAGTAAGTTTAGCTTGCAGAGATACTGGGACAAATAGTAATTTCTTCCAGGAAAAAGGAATGAATGTGAAATCATAGATGTTATAGCTGAAAGGGCTCTTAGAGATGAGAACTCCTCACAAATACAGATGAGAAAACAGAACCAGTGGATGTGAAGAGACTTATGATTACCTAAGCTAATTAATTGCAGAACTAGAACAAAGATCTGTGTCTTATAACTCATGTTTCCTTTACCTTAGAGCAAATTGCATCTTCTAGAAAATTTTGTAAATGTATCTGTAACCCTCATGGTTTTTCAGTTAGAAAAAGCAAAAATGTACCATATGATTTCAGAGTCTGCTCAGCAGGGTTCTTTGATCCTTTAACTGGTACTTTTTATCCCAGTGTTAGGGCTACTAGATAGCAGAGCCTCAACATGTGATACTTACCTTTTCAATGATTACTGTTATTATCCTGAGTTGTAGTACTTCTTTGACTTTGAGGTAACATGATTGAGTCAAAAGGAAACTTCCAGTTAGGGAGTACCTCAGGTTGGACTGTGTGAAGTCAGTTGGCATCAGGATCAGTTTTTTTTGTGGGGAGTTGTCTGAGCTTCAGGGATCTTGCAAGCGAGAATGTTTTTAATTGGTTTGTTCAAATGGAGGTGGAAATTCATTGATATTTCTATTAGTTGGGATATTTAAACAATTAAAATATAGCAAAAATCATTCACAGCTCAAGTAGGTGATATGCCAATACACTGAGGTTGTAAATGACCTACACTCTACTGAGAATCAGGTCATAAAATTAGGACAATCTTTTTTGCAGAGGTTCCTGCTGAACATAGACCTTTTTTGGTCAAGTGAAGTTCCTTTTTGGGCCAAACTGGGAAAGTTGTTTAGTTCAAGTGTTAGAAACTATTCAAATCCTATCTGTGATGAAGCATAAGATTCAAATTGAATGACCGCATTTTTTTGGCAGTTTGAGGTGGTACTTGGTAGCTAACTATATTTGAGTGAGTGAGTTGAGGTACTATGAGGCAGACCAGTAACATTCTGTCACATTTAACATTGTAAGAGCTCCAACAACCATAGCAATAGTTGGCAGGGGATCTATATTTTATCTAAAAACTTTTGACAAAAAGACTTACTTAGACATCAGGTCAGGATATTTTGCATGGGAGTTCTCTCCTATTATTGACTCACATGTTTCATAGACAGTGATGAAGTAGATAGATCAATATACAAGGAAACAAGATGTCTTGAGTATAGTTCAAGTTTTTCAACCTTGGGCAAGTTGCTTTATTTATGCAGGTCTCAATCATTTCACCTATAATAATAGAGGAAGACTTAGGATAAATATTCCCAGTAATACAATGATTTTATCCTAGGTTGCAAGGTTCTTGAGAATAGCTTTGTGTTATAAAATGGCAAATAACTGGGCCATACTGGGGAACTCTAAGTAGAGAGGTCCTTCTGGAAATGTAGTTCAGATCTACAAGAGAACTCAGTAATTGTTCCCAATAGCCATATCATACTTCTTTCACATGATGTTATCATAAACTTCAACATTTGGACCACAGACAAGTGTTTTGTATATAATTTCATTTTTAAAAGAAAATATAAAACACAAACAACAAACAAGGGGAAGAGTTCTGAAATCGGATTTCCACATTGATGATGCCACTCATTTAGTTTTTCTTAATCTTTTAAAGAAATGGTTCCCCTTGAGAAACATTAAAAATCTCACTACAAGGTTATTGTGAACTTGCTTCCCTAGGACCCAGACTCTGGTCTGTTAGAAAAACCTACCCAATCACATTTAAAATTTTCAAGTACTATGTGCCAAATAGCCAAGGAAATTATATAAATCTCTATTTTCAACAGTTTATATTATATGGTAAAAATTTTGCTTCTATTTGCTTTTCACATATATTTATTACAGTAATGCATATACTTTTTTTCAAGTTATAAATTCTTTTCATCCACTAATTTTAAGAACTACTGTTCTAGACTTAGCCATCTCTTGTAACTGTGCTTTTTGAGGGATATTCTAAACTCTGAAAAGTACAAGCTCTCACTAAAGGACCAAAGGATATGACTTGTATACAAGTAAACAGGAAATGAACTCACATTTATTTAATGCTTACTATGCACCAGACATGAAAATCAGTACTTTCACATATTTTCCATTTAATCTTCATAACAACTCATGTGTCGAGAACTATAATCCTACTTTTACAAATGGAGAAACTAACACCAGAGATACGAAGTGGATTATTTCACGCTAGAGAGCAAATGAATAAGCCATATTTCTATCCCAAATCTACCCCAAGAGCATGGTTATTTCTACTTATAATGTTGCCCTATCTGCAAACTGATAATTATGCCTCTTCCTAAGTGATTAAAAATTCAATAAGGAGTCATGCGTGGAAGGTCAAATTCAAACTTTAAGATGTTAGTTTATGACTGGTAATTCATTTTAAGGATAAACATATTTTTACTTCCTTTTAATTAACAGAGAAATATATTTAGAGTGGCAGAATATATCCAAATCTCTGTTTCTGATGTCACGCAAGGTTATTTGAAGTTGATTCGAATTCATTTGGAAATGACAGAGATTCCAATTCTAGGTGATATTCTGTGGCTCCGGCTTTAAGTGATTTAATGAAGAACACCTTGGCATGAAGCTCACACTAGCTTGAATAATTCATATGTGATAATGAAGATAAGGCAAAATATGTTCAGTTCCCAAATGGTCTGGAAAGGTCATTTTGTTGGCTAGAGAGTATGAGGGGACCCCATCAGCAGCCTTCCTTCTCTATTTAGTTCTCTTCCTCCAAGATGACAAGCTCATAGGAGGCCTTAGTATCTAAGAAAATAGGAGAAGTAAATTTGACAAACATGTTTACTTAGTGGTGCTAGTGACTTAACGATGAGAGGTTAAAAAAAAGAGGAGGATTGAGAAGGTGAAATTGTAGAGTTGATACTTGGAAAAGAACAATCACCTTAATCCTATAATCCAAATTCCAACCTCATGACTTTGCAACTTGCTAACTTTACAGCTTCAGGTAAATGGGATCATTCCTTTGAGCAGTAGTTTCCTCATCTGTAAATTAGAGATGCTATTCCCAATTTATCTTTGCAATAATGATGATAATTAATATACACATATTTTAGGATTTCTTTTTTTTTTTTTGGAACTGCTGGGGTTTAAACTCAAGGCTTTGAAATTGATAGGCAAGCACTCTACCACTTGAGCCACACCACCAGCCCATACACACTTATTTAAAACACTTTGTTAAGTATAAATCAGCATGTGTAGGCTGAGGTGGTTGTGGCTGCATTAGGGGTGGCAGTGGCAGTGTTGGTAGTATTAGGGGCAAGAGTTGAGAAAGGCAATAACCATAAAGTCATGGTAAGTTAGAGCTGGAAAGTTAATGATCATTTAGTTTAAATTGTCTTATTTTAATAATGAGAAAAATGAAGCCCACAGAAGGTAAGAGGTTTATCACAGAAATGAGAGAGTATTTGACAAGGAGAATCTAAGCCTCTTAGTTTCAAATCCAGTACTTTAAAAAATGTTTGGCTGCTATCCTAGTTTTCCCTATCTTACAAGTCTTGCCCAATTCTTCTTACCCCTGTTATTAAAAACGTTCCTTCACTTTTATTCACAGATCTATTATGATTAGAGTTCAAAGGCAAGACTCCATGAAGATCCTTGATCTTTATGATATAATCCTACCCTGACACCTGGTGGGCAGTAGTAATTTGTCATATATGCATAATGCATATACATAAAAATGCTAGAACCAGAACCAAGTAAAATATCTTCTTCATGCTTAAGGAACAATATTACTAACAGAAGTGCCACTTTAATATATTTTCTTTCTTCATGCAAAAAGTTGTTTGGATAAGAAGTCTGTTGGCTTTCACCACTTTATGAAGAGCCTTGTTACAACTGAAATTATACTGTCTTTGGTCTTGAGAGTCACTTACTCCTGCTAAGCCTTCATTTTCTCATCTATAAAAGAGTATAATCATGATGATGATGATGAAAATGATGATAATAAACAACTCAATTCTTTAAAAGATTAAAAGTAATATATGAATAGCATTTAATTAGTGACTATTAGGATGCATGGGGAAACTTCTTAGATTTAATAATTCACTGGGACTTAGAATTTTGGTACACAATCTGATGCTATAATAATATAAGCTCGCTTCAGCTGCATCTTTGTGAAACCATAGCATTGTGGTAATTGGTTGGAAAGGGAAGCTACCTTTGGGTAGATGTTATTGAACTCAGTTCCACTGAGTCATACTTATAGACCTGATATACATTTGTGTTCTGACACAAAATCTAGCTTTTTTTCTACAAAATTAAGTGGTCAGTGATCAGGTTCCCACTTAAGCATATGAGATTCCTATTGGAAATGAAAAGATGGGATTGGCCATCCAAGGCTTTGAAGCCCTTAGGTATTCATCTCTTATATTTCACCTTTATTATCCTTGCCTTTATCATCTTCTCCTGAGTAGAGGAGAAAGATTTCATGCAGACTTTACTTCTGCTTCTACAGAAACATCTTTGGAAATAATCATAGGA